GAGGCGGTTGGAACATAGGACCAAATTGATAAGAAAGAGCATTAGCAACCGCTTAAGCAACAGGCACCGTTTGGGTCCCCTACAGTCCATCCTTTTCATATTTTCTGGAGTTTGTTAAAACGACATTGTTTTAATTAGTGGTGTAACTCGGACGGGTTCGGTTGGATTGAGAGATTGTCCAAGCCCAACCCAAGTTGTGCTGAGACCTGTCCAGGCTCGCTCAGGCCCGAATTATAACCCGAGGTTTCCTGCCCAAGCCCGACCCGAGTTAAACCAAAATTGCTTGAGTTGCCCGAATTGTAAATGATTTTTTTTTTTGCTACATTATTAAATTATTAAAATTTGATTCTATTTACATTTTTTTTATATATAGAAAATCATTAATACTATCAAAACAAATAATTTTATATAATGTAAAAGAGATGCCGTTATAGTAGTCTTTATAATTTATGAGTGAAAATAAAAAAAAGTAAGATTTTATGTTATTTGTATATATAATATGTATTCAATATGATTTAATAATCTAAATTACTTTAATATCATGTAATCACCAATAATTTATATGTATATTTAATATATTTATATATCTATATATGTACAATTCGGGTTTCGAGTTGCTCGGGTTGTTTGACGTTTTTTCCCCAAGCTCGTCCAAATTTAATTCGGGTTTCTGAGTTTTGCTTAAGTCCGTACCAAATTTGAAAATATCTTGTCAAAGCTCTAAAAAAATTCGGACTGGGTTCAGGTTGCTCGGGTTGAGTCCGTCCAAGTTACACCCCTAGTTTTAATTAAGCCCCAAAAACACACACACGAACTTAAATCTGCAAGGAACAAAGATAGACACAGAGGAAGGCTAAGAAGAAAACGAGGACGCAGAGAAAACAAAGGAGGAATATTTGCATTCAAACTGAAATGATTCTCTCCAACTCATTCTGAAAAAATAGGAAAACATGGAATGGATATAAAACAACATATTATTCAATTATTTATTTTTATTTTTGAATTATTCAATCTTTCCATCTTCTCATTCAGTCTATTTTCTTTTCTCATTCAATCTCTCTTCTTCTTCTTGTTCTTCTTCTTATCCATTTAGTGTCAAAAATATTTTATTTTTAACTATTGAATCTCAAATGCTACCTTCAATCATTTTTTTTTTTTGAGTATGGGGGTCATAAGTTTAATCTTAAATTTTTTGGGGCAATAATTTCGAACTTCTTTTTTTTTTTTTTTTTTTGTGTTTTTTTTTTTTTTTTTGTGTAAAGATTAAAAGTAGGAATTAATGTAAAAAAAATCGACATAATTGAACTGACCATTTAAGATCGTCTAAGATTTTAATTTTCGCTTTGTTTTCATAACTTGTGGTTTATTTTTATAACCATACAAGCTGTACCAATGAAAATATTTCATTTAAATACTTTTTATTTTAATTCTTTGAACATTAGTATATAAGTAATTAATAATGTACGTTTCGTAAAAAAATTAGAGAGGAAAGTATTTATAGAACTTTCATTAATTTTTTTCATTTATTTTCAATAGAGACTTTACCAAATTTTTATAAAACCTTTTAAAATTTTATGAAAATTCTTTCTCTACAAAAAATTAAAAAAATAAATAAAATTGAACCGTATTATGCAGTCGGTCTCAGTTTCTTAACTCACAAAACCAAAAAATTCGGTTCGGTGTTAAATTTTCCCTCAATTTTAACCGTACCAAATTGTTTACACTCCTACTTAGATGATAAGAGAATATCTATCTATATTTCTCCTTGTGCCACATGATCTTAATTTTTCTACTTAAAAAAAAAAAGATAGATGGGAGGAGGATGACTCAAACCTTGAACCTTGAGTGTATTGAAAAAAACCCTTACCAGTTTTTTTATGAATTTTTTTTTTATCACTCGAGTGATATACATTATATAATAAAATATTTTATTTTATTTTTATTTATTTAAATTGTATAAGTATCGCTTGTACCAACCGCTAGTCATTTTCTATATCTTCCTAATAGAAACCCTTCATTCTTAGTTCAATTGAGGGACCATAATAATTTGAAGATTGAGGACCATAATAATTTGAAGATAAAATTAATAATATATATTCAAATTTTGACCCTTATAATAAATTAAATTTTGAATTTTTGATTTTTTTTTTAATTTTTAATTTTGTCTCAGTCTCAACTATCCATCCATCTCTGTTAAACCAAACTACCAGAAAGAAGAGTATTTTAATAATTACAGTGACAATTTCATATCATATAATTATTTTATTCAATAACTACTCATTATATTGCACCTACAAGGCTACAATATTAAACTTATATATATATATATATATATATATTTGAACAATGTTAGAAATTCTAAGAAAATTATCAAATTTTTTTGTCAAACACTCCAATAGTGTGTGAGGTCCACACTCATGTGAATCCCACATAACATTTAGTAAAAAATAAATAATTTTCTTTTGAGATCTCTAGCAATTGCGTTTATTTTTTAAAACTACACAGAACTAGAAAGAAAACGTGTACACTAAGATGATTGGCAGTGGTGAATTTTTTTGGGTCGATAGTAAGTTTGGATTCTCTACAGTTTCTTTCTTTACAAGTTTCCTAAATTAGAAAAACAACGTCATTTTGTTAAAAGAAAAAAAAAATAGAAATCCTAAACTCTTCTCCCTCTCTTCTTCCTCATCCCTTCCCACCATTTTGGCGACGACCAACCCTGCCTGCCCCGTCATTCGCTGGCCAACCCTCCCTTACTCAGCCCCTCTCTGAGTTCCCTTCCCCACCGCCAGCCCTTTCCCCATCGCCACCGTTGCTGTCACCAGTGTTGTCAAAATCGTCAGATACGCAATACGTATTATATGATACATATCGTATTGTATGGAAAAAGATACTTATCCGAGACTCATATTGTTGGTAACTTGAATCATGAGATATGTTTTTGTATCATATGATTCCGTATCGTATTGCGATTTAACTTGTATCGCATGATTAATTAACTTTTACATTCTTCTCCACCTTCGGCCCTATTAACTAATTTTTTCACTATCAATCACATAGTTGACACACATTAAACAGTTATGAACTGTATTATCAAAAAATTCAAAACCCAAATTCAAATAAATTGGCAAGAAAAATTGACTCTCATACTCCTTTTGCTACAAGAAAGTAAATTACTATCATGAATCTAATTTGATTGAATTTATATATACCTTATTGATCAATTTGATCATTGATTATGGGTTCATTTGAGAAGTGGGTTGGATTTTTGACTTTTTTGGTTATTTTAACCTGGGACTAAAAAATCTCATTTGGGAATGTCTTTTGATTTTTTTGACTTTTTTGTGAGAGAAAGAATGTAATGATTATGGGTTGGATGTGATATTTTGTCTTATTGGGCTAAAAAGCATATTTTATTTTTTGTGAATAAAATAGCTAGAAAAACTCCAAACTTGGCTTCCCAAACGAAGCCTATATGATTTAATAGCTTGTATTTGTAATATATTTATATATTATATGAAAATATTTATTTTTTTAATCTATATTAATATATGTTATTTTATCTTACGATATCCGATACGATACATGATACATAAAAGTAAAATAACTACAATACATATCACGATTCAGCAGCACTGGTTGCCACCATACGCAGTGGCGGAGGGAGTAAGGGGCTAGGGTGGTCACGTGCCCCCTGGATTTTGGGATATTTTTTCTTTTGCAAATATAAAGAAAATATTTTGAATAAAAAAATTATAAAAATATTATTAGAGTGAAATGTCAATGATATTTTAAAAATGATGAGAACAATAATGGTTGTTTTGATTGAAAATGAAGAGGCTATTATAAATCATATTATCTACACAAATTTTATGAAAAATTTTGAATGTAACGGTGATGTCATTATTAGTGACATGCAAGTATAAGTAATCTCACTATAAAGATATAAAATTTATTGGATGTTAGTTAAATTTGACATATGAGGTTCACTCTCTATGCGTTTATTTACTATTAGTAGGTGATATCACATACTAATGATAATGTGGTATTACTGTTATATTAAATTTTTAATCAAATTTTGTATAAAAAAATAATTTATCATTATATAATTTATTTTAAGACTTATATCCATATTGTTTTTGTATTGTCCATGATACAATAGTTACAAATAATATTATTTTTTTGATATTTTTCAAAATCAATCATAAAAACTTACGTGAAAATTTTTTGTAAAAGTTTTGATATTATAATTAATAAAAGTACCGCTTTAACTTAATTTTCTGTTCCGCTACTGACCATACGAGCCACATCTCCACCACAGCACAGCCATAGCCCATGTTCTTCTTGCGAACGAACATTGAATTGTGACTCACATATTATACCCACCAGGCTACTCTTAGATTAAACCCACAAGGCTACCCTGTAACTCCTCTTTGTTGAGAGAGAGAGAGAGAGACTATTTTAGAGAGAGAAGGGGAATGAAATGAGCTAGGAAACGAGAACCAAGAGAGCTGGGTTTTCTTCTCGAGCAATGCTAGGTATCATGAAAAACCTTTCATGAAAATAATCATGAAAATTTTGTGACCCTTGGATTACACTTAGAATAAAGCACCACACACTAATCAAGGTAATCTAAGGATTATAAATTTTTCATGATCATTTTCATGAAAATTTTTTCATGATCCCTAACTTTTCCCTTTCTTCTCTGGCAATCTGTTTACTCTTCGTTCTCCCGCCCTCCCTTGTTTTCTTTTTTTTAATTATTATTTACTGTCCAAACCACGTCATTACGTGTCCAGATGTCCAGCAGCAGAATAATAAAATAAATAAAAGCAATGTTAGGATACCTATATTTTTATCAAAGATCTCGCGCGTTACACACTTATACAAAATGTTTGATAAAAAATTTAATGAAAGTCTTGGGCGGCTAGCATTTTTTAATAATAAAGGGTAACAGATTGGACAACAAAATTATAAAAAAATAATATGGGTATATATACATATATATAAGCAGAGAGGGGAGGGAGGAGTTAATTAGCCATTGTAGGCAAGATTTCAGAGGGAGAGCGACAAGTTTAGCTGTTGCGCCAAGTTTAATGTTCACGAGTTCGTAGGTGTTGAATTCTCCGGTAAGGTTAGTAATTTATCTTTTTGTTTGGATCATTCTACCATGGAGAATGATATTCAAATTACTTTCTGTACTTATTTAAATTTAATAATATGTATGTGGCATAATTAGCAAATAATTAAAGAATGAGAAAATTAGAGATAAATTATAGATCCATCTTTTGTTAAATAATTTGGTGAGAAACCATTTTTATTATTTAGGAGGACATTTTATATTCAATTTTACCCTTTAATTAATCTGTTAATTTTTTTGACTATCTGTTCAAATTTATATCTATCTATTTAAATTTTTTTCCTATCAGAGTGAGATTGTGGCGAAAGGAGAGGGTTGATGTTGCCGGCAATGGTTGTGGTGGTGGCATGGGAGGAGGAGTAGGAAACTCTCATCTAGAGGCGGAGGAGGAGAGAGAAAGAGCTGGGTTTGGGTTTGGTTTTTAGTTCTGGTGTATAGAAATATATATCTCTGTGAATAGTTTAGTTATTTTGCATGAGTTTATCCTTGTGAACAAAATATTTAGAATGTGGATCTTTAAGTAAAGAAAATTTAAATTTAGACTTATGGACCGAATGTCCTTAAAAATATATGAGAGAGAGTTACCTTAAATAATTTAATTAATTGTTACGTCATTATATATGAAAATATATGAAAAGTGAGTCTAATTTTTGAATTTAAATAATAATGCCCTTCTACAATACCTATCCTAAAAAAGATGTGTATCAAGGATAGGGTGCACCTTGGCTTGCACAATTCGAGTAATAACCTGAGTTCCAATTGACTTTTTGTAGGGCTTATTTTTTAATTTGGTGTTGGATTTGAGTAAAAATTCAGAAATTCAAATTAAATTTGAACAGATTTAGATGAAGACATCAAATAAACTGAAACCCCAATCATATATATATATATAAAAATATTAAATATACATATAAATTATTAACCATTTAATATAAATTATTATTTTTGATATTTCAATAAATTCTATAAGTGACATAATTACTAAAATGTTCATAATAACAATAATCACACCCATAAAATATTATAAAGCACCATCCAATCAGTCATTTACCCTCATAAAACCAGCCCATGGTCCTTGCCCATGGTATTGCGTGTGACACAAGACGTTGAGTCTAGGTTCACTACGACGATCAAAAACCTAACGGCACGTGTTTTGTTCTTAGAGTCACAGGGTGTGACTGGGAGTACGAGCTTGAGAGAGGTGCAATACTTATAAATTGACGAATTTTACGTTTTATCAATTTGTATATATACATATGATTATTAACACATTATACTAACATACTGTAGGTGTCAGATGCATCTAGTGGACAACAAGCTTCAAAAGAAAATGAATAGGTATGCCACTCTGCACTTCAAAAGGAAATTATTAACATGTTGTACTAACCTATTTCTCTGCTTTTAATGAATTTTTTAGTTTATTATGAATTAGGTTGCCTATTTCTCTGAGAGTCGTTATTGAATTAGCATTTTAAATCAATTCTTTTTGGGTGTAAGTATGGCCCCAACATTGTTCAATAGTTTTTTGTTGTTGAAAATTTTGTGATTTACTTGTAGTGGTTGGTATTTTGTAAGTAGAGTGAAAGATGCGGCTATAAAAGGAACTTACTGTCTACATACAAATAAATAAGTTAGAAAGCAACCGTATGGGCAGTCCAGGGCCTTTTTTTTATTGGTATGAAAGTTGTATTGACTACAACTGTTGCTGAAAATTTATTATTATTTTTTTTGAATTTTTGTTAATAGTGAAGGAAAACAATGGATAAGTCTGAAATTTCCACTATGTATGTGACGATTGAACTTTCGATTGAAATGACATCTGGAATCCTATTTAAATTATGTGGGAGGTAAGAAAAAAATGAGTTGGACTGGTAGTGTGGTACAAGTATCATTTTTTGGCAAGCTTACTTGAGATGATCTGTAATGAAGTATGAGATGGTTGGATGAGGATGAAAGAAGTCAGGTTAGATTTATTTTTTTTGGGACCAAGCATGAGCTATGCTTCTGATGGTCCATTAAGGGGACTTGCTCTTGTTATTCATTGTATATATTTGGCTCATAGAAATTTTAAAAATATTCAGGAAGACCGAATTTAAACTTATTTATTTTTCTAGCTAGATCCATATTGATGTTATTGAAGGTTTGCCCACTTTGAAGTGAGAACTAGAACTGGGTGCTAGCATGTTATTGAAGGTTTGCCCACTTTGAAGTGAGAACTAGAACTTTGAAAGTATGGAGATTTCTGTGCTTTTGTGGTTCATTGCAAAATCTATTCAATGTGATTCAAATTTTAGGAGAAACCAAAGTCCGAGTGGTGTTTACCAAACATGTTGGCATTTGTCCCCTGTTTTTCCAAGCTCAACGGGGGCGTCTTTAGAATTTGGTTTGTTAAGTGCTTCAATACATAATATTATTTTTGCCTTCTTTTGGACGCTACCACAATTCCCCTCTTCAAGAGGAAAGACAGAATGGATTCATCAACATTGTATTATTTATTTCATGGAATGTGGAGCTTAGTAGGTTTTGTCTTTTTTTTCGTTGGATTCTAATTCTGAGATTTTATATACTTTGTTGTCTACTATGTTGTCACCTGCAGGTCCTGTTTTGCGATCTTGATGGTGTTTGGACAGCTAGATAAGCAATCCAGTTCTACTGTTTGTAATTCTGTATGGTTCCTGTTTTTGGCAAACAATTTTGTTACCCACGTTCCTAGTTGATCTTTCTATTGGGATCTTTGGAACTTGGGTTGGTGGAGTTTTGGAACTTCTTTGTACATGGAGCTAGATACCAGACTTGCTGCCTTGCAATTGTAATGATTAATTTGAACATTTGACTAGGTGGTGTTAGTTATGCTATTTTTATTTTTTGAATTGTAGGTATACAGGAAAGATTCCAATTCATGGTGATGCTTCTGCCAAAGCCACTTTATATAGGGATAGATTTCTCTTGCTGCTCTAGAGGCTTTCTCGTGATCTGCATTTTTCTAAGCCTGCATTTGATACTGAAAGGTCTCAGTTTGGCAGCTCTGAGGTAACTCGTCTCTCTATCTTGCACATAAACATATCAAGATTGGAGACACATGTTAATTAAACACAAAGTGTGCTTATTTATGTGTATATGTTGGGCATATATCTCCAATTTAGAGTCTCATTAGGCTAACAGGGAGAAGATGGGTCATGGGCGTTATATCTCAGTTAGAGGATGGCCATTTCTACTTGGACCGTCGCAAAAAATCTTTTGCGACTGTTTTTTTTTATTATTTGCGACAGCTTGTAGCAGTCACAAAAAGTACTCTTTTTTTTTTTTAATATTATTTGTGAGGTCTTCCAAGTAGAAATGGCCATCCTCTAATTGAGATATAACGCCCATGACCCATCTTCTCCCTATTAGCCTAATGAGACTCTAAATTGGAGATATATGCCCAACATATACACATAAATAAGCACACTTTGTTTAATTAACATATGTGTCTCCAATCTTGATATGTTTATGTGCAAGACAGAGAGACGGGTTGCCTCACAGCTGCCGAACTGAGACCTTTCAGTATCAAATGCAGGCTTAGAAAAATGCTGAATCCTTTGCCACAGAGATCACTGTAGACTGAGATGCTGATAAAAAAATCACTGCAGAATCAGACTCAGGTTGGTGGACGGGTGGGGTGTGGGCCAGAGACAAAAGCAATTGCATCTCGACTCTGTAGAGCACTACAAGGAGAAGTGAAATGCACAGAGAAAGATGGGTACAGGTTCTTAGAAAGACCTGTGACTTAATGATCGATCTGAGCCAAGATAGAGCAGAATGGGAAAAGTGGAAACTTCCAGCCCAATCCCAAAATTTGAATGTTAAATTCCTTCTTCAGAACATACGGTGCCTTAATTTAATTTAAGATGTGAAAAAAGCTCTTACAGAAGTGTGATGCTGGGAAGTTAGCATAACCAAACAGAAGATGACCACATATCAGAAACAGGGTGAGAAAAGAGAGATTGCTTACTTGACATGAATAACATTCTGCATCACTCTTCATGGCAGACATTTCGACTCTCATTTTTTGCACTTCAGCCTACAAATAAGTATATAACATAAAAAGTCCTTAAATAGTCTCGAAACATCAGTTTGCAACGTTTCAAATTTATTTATTGTATAATAATAAAAATTAGATGTTAGAATCAATTCCCAATTGACATCTCCAAATAAACAGCATTTAGTCTTCAATCATGTAACTTGATTAAAGATAACAAGTAACACATGTACAGGAACATTACAAGAAACTTGCCTCTAAAGAGGAAAGCTTGCTCTCAGCATCTCTCTGACCTTGCCGAGCTCACTCCGCTTCTTCCTGCCGTGCATGCATGTTCATATTCAGAAGATAAAGTGGTTAGATGGATATGTACTACTATAGCACTCTTCTATTGGTGAAAGACTAAATTATAGTTGTATTATTTTTATGAAACACAAAGGATATAAAAACTATGAGAATTACACTTGAAAGAAAAAATAAAGAGGGCAAGGTATCAAACTGTTTCAATATGAAAGACCCACATTGTAATCCTAGATTTGAAGTCTCAACACTAAATTAAAATCTTGCTTTAAAGTAGAAGCTTTAAAAAAATAAATGATGGATATATAAATTGATCGCAAAAATTTTTTCTTGAGAAATTTTTCAACCTAAAAAGAACATGGTAATAGAAACTCAAAAAAAGGTGAGGCTTGAACTTAACAGGAGAGCATTATAATTTTTCAGTGAACAGATTCTCAGAACTAAAGATTTCATAAATGTTTGGTTATAATTGAAACATAATTTTGGAACGTAATTTGCCAATATATAAATACTTATTGAATCATGAAATATAAGCAATTCTAATATTGGATGTTAGTAATATATTCACATCAAAGATTTTTTATGAGGAATTGTCGAATAATACAACTACACTATTCAAATAAATTACTTCAAAGCAATTCTAATATTGGTGACCCGGAATTACAATTATGCAAATCAAAACTATTGTTGCGGTTGTCCCCCATGACAAACACAAAACCTTCAGGCACAAGCTGCAGAAATAGAAATTGCAAATTTCAGTCCAATATGGTAAATGTTTTAGGACTCTAATAAGATTAATGATAAGAAATTCACTTTGATAAAGCAAAGAAGCAGGAGTTCTTACCACTGGTTCCATTTCATAATCAAGTGGCTCCAAAATGAAATCCTCTTCTTGCACAATACCATTCACCATTAACTTAACATCATGTACCTATTAAGGCACATAATTACTGAACATTAGATGTCAAGATGAAGCACATGGGATTTTTCAGTTAAATGAAGAAGAGAACTTACTTCAACAAAATCCCGTTCCTTTGCAACAATGCGCTTTATAAACACATCACCTGAACTATAGCCGATTTCCTACAAGGCGCACCCAAAAAATACATACAAATGTATTAGTGTCTAATGAATTGATCAAAATATTTTATTTGTTACTTTGAAGATGAGAAACACACCTGAAGAATTGGAGGCACCTTAAATATCACAATATCTGAAACTTCAGGCTTTCTAAAGACATAGGAAACCTGACCACCAAATATATCAGGAAAAAAATCAACTCAAAATATTCAAAATCCAGTCAAACATTGGAAATCTAGCTAACCATCCCTCAATTCTTGCAGTGTTATCTAATAATGAATTCTCTTGTGTAATTGCGACACCCTGCACAATAATAGATGAAGCAACAAGTCATACATTTCGCAGTCAGGAAAAAAATATACAAACAAAAAACAAAACATCTGGCTTATGGCAGCATAACTCAATCCCATTCAGCTAATTTTGCTAAGAAATTTGTTGAGGATGTGCAACAAGTTAAGGGGATGGACTAACCAACCGGTTCTCTAACACTTGCCAAGTGCATCCCAGAAATTTGGACTTTGTTACCAAGTATAACATGAAGACAATGATAATCAATTATAGCTAAGCTACACACCATAAACAAATCCCAAGGGTAAATCAGTATTAAAAGTAGCCATGCCTGCAATCAAGTAACTATACATACAAACTTTTCGATAAGTAGTTGAAAAACTATATCTATGTCTAAATATATATATCTAACACTCCCAACACTTCTAAACAGCAAATGTAGTGACAAAAAGGAAGAGTGTATTCAAACCTCTAGGATAAACAACAAAATCAAGTCACTCTTAGGACCTATAATACAATTTAAACATCCCTAATCCATACGAATCAAGCCAATTGCAAAGACCATGTAGCATGAAAAGTAAGAAAGTCTGAAGAAAAAAAGTTCCTTGTGCATAAGAGTCTCAGACATTTGACCATAGTGGACAAATGGACCCAAAAATTTTGGCAGAGCTAAAAGCTAATCAGTAAGAAACTTTACTCTATTTTCAAACCAATAATAATAATAGGGAGTATATTTCATTTACACTCTGAAGAGCTGAGAAAACTAAATAAAAGCAGAAACAAGAACCTGAGATGAAAACCTGTTTTGCAAAATCCAGGCCAGCTTCACGGAATGCTTTTTGTACTTCCAATAAACCATTTCTTGTTTCTGGAGTGCCTCCACTCTGAGTAGAATTGGAACCGGAAACATATTAGCAACGTGTTTTGAACTGTGATTTGTGACGACTAACACAACAGCAGCAAAAAAAATGACTTCCATGCAGACCTTTGATATAACTATTACAAGCGTAGAAGCCAACTCAGGGCCAAGCTGTGCAATCTGATGATCAATGCCAGCTGGATCTGTATTGTCAATGAACCTTATCTGCAGAAAGGACAAAAAATTGTGACAAGCATTAGAAACCTCATTGTAAAAACAAATGTTCCAATACAAGTTCATTATATACCTTGAGAGGAGGATTATCAGGAGCCAACGCCTCTGCAACAAACTGTGGTCCAAGGGCAGAACCTCCAATTCCAACAGAAAGTACTTGTGTAAAGCGACCCTCAGGAGAGGTTGGGGGCTTAATCTATGGTTTTAAAGCCAAAAATAAAGCACGGAAAATTGTTAGAACTAGAGCTCTGCCAACAATGTCATGCAGAAAGTATCGTAACATCCTAGAGATAGTAATGAATTAGAACATGTTTATGAAACAAATCACATTTACAGGGCAGAAGAATCAAGGGTTATATAGGAACTAGTGCATGTCTGTATATAGTACTGACAAATAGAACAAACAAGGAGGATCCATAAGTGCACATTAAAAATATTGCATTTGTAATTTATTTGGAATAAATGCATAATAGTACTCCCTGATCTTCATACAGAAAAAAGAATAACACGAATTCAGCAAGTCTCAAGTTTCCTCTGTTTGATTCAGTAATCCAAATAAGCAAACCCTCAGTGCATAAAAGTGGATCAATGGCTCGTGATAGAACTCCTCACACAGCTAAGATGCAGTGTTAAGCAAATTTTAGTTTTTCATCCTCCAAAGTATAAGTCACAAATGGGTCAATGGAATGAATGTTTCCTTCCTTCCATCTATTTAACGAGCGCTCACAAAAAAAGAAAAAAGAAAAAGAAGAAGATAAACATAAAAGAAATGTGATTTCCACCAAAACATAGAAAGGAGTCAGTATAATCAGTTCTAATAAGCAGCCAAATCAACTTCCAGTTCATGCCTCTCCAGTCCATCAAGTAGAACCTTTTAGTACTTATGTCTCGTTGATTATGGCCATACAGTTGTGCTGGAGCTTTAAAAAAAAATGGGGAGCTTAATTCTGCCATTCTGGGATGAATTTTACATTATTGAAGCTGTCCATTAGTCAATAAAAAGTGGCTGTCTGTTCTTTTATTTTGCACATGAAATTCAATCATGACAAATTAAATGCATGCATGAACATCCCATTGGCATGCATTATGAAGTGCTCCACTGCGTATTATGAGGCATTTGAAGAATAAATTAATCTCTCCATTGCAATTGAAAAAAGTCACAACTCATTTCTAAGGCAAAAGCAGGAGCACATGAAACAAATCAAATGAAATGATGAACTCAAATCTAGAGAAATCTACATAAATCACCTATGCTTGTTCTTATGACATCTTATTACACGTCTCAGGCTGTATTTTCATTATCACATTCACCAATTGAGGGAGATAGAAAAAAACACCAATTGTCTTGGGTGGTAAACTTCAGGCTTTCTAAAGACATAATTTTGGTGTTATTAAAGATCTAGATATAAATCAATTTGATTCCATGAGCAATCACTGCAAAATCACATGGATACAAACAAAAAGAAATTATAAATTAAACTTTGATTAGGTTAAAACAGAGCACACGCCAATCCAATTTCTATACATGTAGAACCACAGAAATCCATCACCGATCATGACTATCAAACTTGGTATAAATCAAAGTTACTCAGCAATGAATGAACACAGATATATATATATATATATATATACATATGAAAATATA